CCGTTTCACTGCACTTATAGTGCCTTGACCGTTTACGCTACGCACGATTGAACCCAAAGTATCGTGATACACAACTGACTGTAAACCTTGATCATGCCTGCTTTAGTGTCTCTATAAATTTGGGAATAAAAATATTTATTTAGTTAATGTCTTGAGGTGGAGTACCAATGAATGCACGCGATAAGGAAGGTTGATAAATCGGTCGATTAGCGAGGTCAGCTAACATTGGTGTCGAGCACATGAAGCATTCGCTTTGAGGAGCTACCAAAGCGCATGCGGATGTCAGCGCAGACTAAAGTATGATCTGCTTCAAGGTAAACCAAAGCGATCCACAACCCCGGACGCTGACTCGCCATCTAAAGCTGCTTGTAAAGGTGATATGCTTATGACCACGCTTGATTTCCTGAAGGGGGACGCCAGGTGGCTACACGTCTTCTCTTATGCCTAAACTTCGTACTTGAAAGAAAGAGACGGTGCTCAGTACATGAGGTTAGAGGTCTACCGCCGTTGTCATGAGGACTCTCATCAAGCTCGTGACTGCTACCAAGATGACATTTGCACGGAAGCCGTCGACCTACTCGTGCATTGAGGTTTAAGGCAAAGACAATGACATCTGACTTTTAGGCCTTGCGCAAAGATTGTGGTGTCTAGGAGGAAAGTCATCCTTAACCAATGCACAGCTGCAGTCGGTTGGAGCGTAGACAGAAACGAGAAATAAATAGCTCCCCTCCTCCCGTTATCAGTTGATTCTATATGAGCCTTCAAGCCGAACCGCTAAAGATACCAAACATTTTGAATCACAAACTTTTGTTGTTACCGCGTTTCGTGTGACGTCTTTTCTCACTGGTTGCATATTTCTTGGCCTATCCTGGAGAATCCCATGTAGTTTTTTCCCCAAAGAAAACGTAGTCATTTTAGAGTTCCTGTTCTGTAAGTATTATTACTATGAGTTCTACGCAGTAACTCGATATTTTGGCGTGCCATACTGATCGAGTTTTCTAGCTGAAATATTGTGGAAAACCGTGTTTGAATAAACACAAAGCGAAATTTGACTATCATCAACATTTTTCTGATCCAAGTTATCTTGGATAATTTTGGGTGCTACTGGACATAGCTTCTCCTTCAGGCTTACTGGTAAATTTTGCGGTTTTTCCCATTTTTCTTCCGTTTCACGCCCTTTTTGCCTTTCTGTGGTCGTTCTAGGGTTGTATACTTGTTTTTAAATGCTGCTCTGTTTTCTACTTTAAACATGGTCGCCTCGCTTAAAATCGAGACCGATGAAATCTTTGTGTCCTCGATTGATGAGTCCAATGCAGCTTGCGGCAATTCTGCCTGTCCAAGACCAGTTACTGGTTCATCTGGTGGTATGTAGTGTGATGTTTGCTTCCGCTGGTATCACAAATGTTGTACCGGCCCCCGAGCAGGTCAATACAATATGCTAGCATTCAATGAAAATCTTCTGTTCAGTTGTACTGATTGCTGCACTCAGAAAGCCATGTACTCGGCTGTCATGTGTGCTGAATTTAAGACACTGGCATCCAGGTTCACCGTGGTGGGGTAGCCGTTTGTCGGGCTTGCAGCGCTCAACTTTAAAGTGGATTTGATTATGAAATATCGGAGTTGTGCGAATGAGGACTCTGTAGCGTACTGTCCCCCTGTTGACAGTCTATCCGTTGATGAATCGGTTATCTTACCGGACGCTTCAGTACATATTGATATAACTAACACATATGACTCGGACGGCATTGTTGACCCTTCAAAAATGGAGGGTGAGTCACGGGCTCCTGGGTCAGAAATGAAAAGGCGAAAGAGGGCAAGGAAAGTGCGCAAACCCTCCGCACCCAAACCGAGAGCTGAGAAGTCGCACAAGATAAATAAATAAATAGGTATATTTCTAGACCGGCTAGAGGCTGTAACATTAAGGGTTCAGATCAACCTTTACATTAACCCGATGCTCTTGCATGGCAGTAGGCAAAATACGAGTATATGTTCCTCGTTGGCAATTACAAATGCATTGGCATTGTTTGGTGTACAGCTGGTGGGGTCGCAGGCGCCCAAATTGAAATTTTCTGCCACTTCCGGCGATGTTGAGCACTTTTTTCTTTTGTTGTAAAGACTGCGCAGAGGTGTAGTTGTGCCTTTTTTCTTTGGAACAGGATCCAATTCACCACAAATTTGCTTTCAATTCATTGGACTTTATGGCCCGCTCAGTCGTCACAATTGTTGGTGCGTACATGGAAGAAATGAGAGTGACGGAATTATAAAGGATACGAAAGGTTAATTGGAGGGTCAAGTTTGGATTACACGTTGTGTGATTGGATTGCGACACGCAACCTCAATTTAATGGACTGTGATTCATATTGAAATGAACCTTAGTCACTGCGATCGCTGGGACCGTATTCAAAGTAGATGGAAATTGGGTATTGCCCACCCGAAAACACTGCACAGCCACGACGCGTTTCGATGTAATTTCATCTCATCAGGTGGAGACAGCAGGATTTGAACCCACGACCAGTGGAATAGCAGCCAACACGAAAGGTTAAAAATAATTTCGAGAAATGCAGATGAAAATAAAAAGGATTTGTTAAGAGACATACTAAAGCAGTGTGCTTCGCTAGAAAAATACAAATTAACAAAAACATATAGCCAAACTTTTCTGTCGCTGCTATTGCTTTATGGCGCGGAATTTCAATCTGAGTGAATATCAGCAAAAGAAAAGAAAAAGATTTTCTAAAGCTAGGTTACTGCGTAAAGAGGCACAAATATAAGCTGCTCAGGACAAGTTTTAACCGCTGATTACGTTGTAAGTAAAAACGATGCAATATGTGCAGTAGTTTGCGAGTTATTTGCAATTGTATGGTGGTCTACGAATAAGGACATTACCCTTTTTCGCTAACAATGGCTTTCTGCTTTGCAAGCAGATAGTAGAAAAAAGAAGAGAAAATGTAAATTAGCGATGCGGTATATGTCCTAAATAGGCATAGCCATCCATAAATGCTCTACTTAGACCTTAATAACCTGCAACAACTATGGACTGCGTTGATGGCTCGAAAGTACACCTTGAAGGCATACATGGCAAATATACGCAAACATGGTATAGTTGCGCGAAAACGCTAGAAATCTAGTAAGGTATATTATGTTTTCATGGGAATTCAGGCGAGCTTATAATTAACCCACGGTTAGAAGTCCTCAGCATGCCATTTTCAGTGGGTACTGGCCACATAAACAACTAGTAATACAGAGTTTAGTATTTTTTAAGCCTCTAAGTGTTTCTGAAGTTTATATCAAGGCCGCGTGAGCCAGGTTTACTTGAGTAACAAAGGAGACCTTTCGGATCAGTTGACATATTTTGGCCCGGAAAATACACATAGTTCTTAGCTAAACATCCCAAGTTTTATCTCTTAGAGCCGATTTTCTATATTAATGAGGCTATGTCTCCAACCTCAGTGAGCTTGAGGAGCCTGTCACTAATAAGAAAAAAATGAGTATAGGAAGATTTAGCAAAATTTAGCAAATTTCTTTTTGGCGGGATATCAATTTTGGTCTGTGTTGGTGGGGCAGTAACAACTCTACTTCTTGGGATTGAGCTTGCTCCAACTTGAGGGCTTGTTAAGCCTCATGTGTTGTTGCACACTACTGTGCAGCTCTTTGATGAAGTTCTAGTTAGTTCACTCCAATTTTAAGTTCCGCAGCAAGTGCCAGCGGTGTTCCTCCAGGTGGCAATGTTAACTAGTACTGTCACACCGGATATTTCTTTTGTGGTTTTCATTGCAAGAGCTGTTCTAGCACCTATAGCAAAGGGTGATAAGGTAAATCCGTAGTAGAATAACAACAGAAACCAGTGGGAGCTAGTCGTTCACCCGCCATTATGCATAACGCATGGTAGGCTTTGGGGCCAGCTAAAAGATAAATAACACACGGGAGGCCAAGATAAGAAAAGTGGTGATGGAAAGTTTCTGGTGGTCCAGCCAGCCAGTAGGACAGGGGCCTCTCTGTCGTTGGTTAGCTTTCGTGCCAGTAAAATGGAATCTGGAATGCGAGTGTTTTACTAGCAAAAGCAGTTAAAGAAGAGGATCTGGTTATCATAATGCCAGTCTACTAGTGTTACCAATAGTGAAAGGCAAATGTATACCAACTAAAGCTAAGAATTTAGGGCCAAGGGAGGATAAGTGTATAGCAGAATGTCAGATTCTTGGGCCTAGAACTTTTAAAGGGCTCTCTTGGTCGACAATGTGAAAGATATATATATTATTTTGCTGTTTACATAGTGATAGCGGTAGGAAACGGCGGAATAGAGTAGCTAGTGCTCAAGCTTGATGAAAAAGCATCAATAAGGGCCAGCCAGCAACCGACATCTACGAAGGCACATAAAGGTTCAGTCAAAGCCGGCATTCAGACTGTTTTGGACAGTTCTAATGCTAAGCTTACTTGTATCAGCAGAAACAAAACCTTTCAATTTCTTATGCACGGCTTAGGTCTGGCAGGACGCCTTTACTAGGGGTACCTCAAGGGTCATAGGCGTAATATTTTTTCACGGACCCAGTGATCAAGAAGTTGGAAAGTGATAAATGTAAAGCTAAAGACAAGGAAGGCAGTCGTAGATAAGATGTAAGGATTGAAATTCGCCTCCACGATGACTTCGTCATTGCCCTGCAATACCCTGTATTAGGAATAACTACTGGTTTGCGCACCTGCCAGTCAGTAGGCTAGGCTGTCCCGTTTGTTGAAATTTTTAAACATTGACGAAGTGACCATAGAAAGAGAGAAGCCGGAGGGTTGTGGATACCAAATGGGCCATTCCGCCTTTGGATCAAACTGTCAGTGAGAGGGTCGAAGCACGTCAGGAACTAATCAGTAATGGCTAAGTACCTGTAGTGACCTAGAGATTCCCCTGATTGGCTGCCGAATGCTGCGCAAAATATTACAATATTACCACTATACTAACGTTACGGCAGATTGTTTCGTCGTGCTTCTGTCTCTTCCTGGCACGTGGATACTCTATGGATGTTTTTCTTAATATTTTTTGCACTCTGCTTTCTGCCGTGATTAAATTCGATATTACGTCACAGGATTTAGACACCAAACGTCTATTATATCCAGAAAATGACGCCAGCGTTGACAAGATAACCGTCACAAAGAGTTTTACTTTGGAATCCTGCACCTGGGATGATTCTCCCTCTTATGCTGCGTTATTTGGACTGCAGCAAAACATCTGCTTCTTCAGTCATGAAAACTCCAAGCAGGTTGCAAGTCAATTCATCTCCGAGGCGACCCCACGTGCTGATAATTTAAAACTAGTGGAAACTAATGTACGAACTAGTACCGAAGAACGGGATTCACTAGTCAACCTGCCGCCTTTGGAAGACGCTGCTGTTGGAGACATGGAGCAAAATCCAATTCCTACCTTTAATGAGTTCCACGCTATACTTTCTGAAGAACAAGGCGGACTAAAGGCCGATCCTGGCTCTACGCGAACCGATGCACTGTTCTCTCATGACAAGCGGATCATTTCAGCCGGTGGACCGACGTCCGATGACACTTATTCATCTAATGGTTCTCTTTCCGACAACGATCAGCGAGCAAAGGGTGAACAGTCTGACATTCAGGACGCAAACTTGAGCCCGGTTCCTTTGCGTTTGAACGAAGCTGTTACAGATACTAATGAATCCAAACACACCGAAATCAGTATGCCTGACGCAAGTGCGCAGATCACGACCGATTCAATTCAGACCGACCAAAATAAGGATTCTGCTATGGATAACGCTGGCCTGTCCAATGACGGAACGTACACATCCGCATCAGTCACGTTGAGGCGGAATGTTGCTGCCTCTGGTTGTTTCGCCAAGTTGTTAGAAGCTAGCAAGGCTATCAAAAATCCCGATGCAGTACTGAACGAGAACACAGACGAGTATATGAACGTTCCGTGTAGTGCCGAAAAATGGTTTGTTATCGAGGTTTGCGAACCCGTGATGCTGCGTGAAATCGAGGTAGCCAAGTATGAACTATTCTCTTCGCGTGTCAAGTTGTTTCGATTATTCGTTAGTGATCGGTATCCCGCAAAGACATGAGACACGCTTGGCACATTCACTGCCCTCGATGTCAAAGGCAAGCAAACCTTCAAAGTGAATGGAGACAAGTTGATAAAATACGTCAAATTTGATTTGGTGGAGCACTACGGGTCGGAACATTACTGTCCACTCACGATGGTCCGTCTGTTCGGACGCGTTTCCGATGACTTGGACGATGAAGAGGACGAATTAAATGAAAGTCTGAATCATGAAGCTCACCCTGTCGCCTCTGAGGAGAAAATCAATCACGCCGCCAACACAAACGGAGCAAGTGTGGTTCACACAGAAAGTGACCGGGTTTCGGACAATGCGGCAGCATCGCTTCATGCAACCAGCACTAAGGCTTCTCCGGACCAGCAATCTCTACACGTTAACCGAACTGCAACTGGCCGTGTCCACACTGTATCCGAAGCACCTAGCAGTGGGTTGGACGAGCATTCATCCGCACCCTCGGCGGACATTGATTCTTCTCAATTAGTACCGAACCTGAAAGGCGCGTCTATTCCGAGCCAAATACTCCATACCACCGAACCTATACAGGCCGGAAAGGATGCCGTAAAGCCCTATAGTGACCAAATGCCACGAACTGACAAGCCCAAGTTTTCGTCAGCCTCGGATAGTTCGGGTGATACCTGTCATACAGATCTGTCAAATTCTTGTTTTACGAGAGGTTCTTCTGGTGAAGCTACCGCCAACATAGCGGACGGGAGGATCAGGCGACGTATTGAACCCATCTATCCAGCGGATGACTCGCAACTACCTGCCACGTTTCCTCCCAGTTCCACTATTCACGCTACAATTGTCCCACTCAGATTCTCTGATAGGTTTCCAGTCAACGGTCGCACGTCATTAGGTGGATCCAATGTGGTCATCTCCTTTCTTACCAGAGTTCGAGATTTCTTCCTTGATATATTCGGCTCCTCAATTCATTTGACTACGGGCAAAACTGACACTCGAGAGTACAACCTTTCCGCTATCGACCTATGTCCTCGCCATCTTTCCGCCATCGGTGCCTTACTCTCGTACGGACTACTCAGCCACCCTGACACCACGAGTTCACTGGATCTCATGATTACTTTGTCTGAACGGCAGCTCCGTGGATTGCGATCTCTCGACCAGTGCTTTCGTTTGCTTGACCAGAGGACTTACGTATTCAACTCAGACCATTTGAATCCACAGATCGCAGTCCACCATCGCGTCTTAGTGTTACTGAAAAATGCCGAAGATCCAGTGATGGCAAATTGTAACACAGCCACACAGTTACTAAACATGGTATTCGCCCCAAACAATGACTCGTCTTCCCACCGAAACAGCCAAGAAACTGCGAAGTACAACATTCTCCAGCTCTTTCTGGCATACCAATATCGCATTCAGTTACACCGATCCCTTGCTAATGTCAGTTATCATCGGGCGCCTATCTCCCCCACAGCGCATGTGCTGTACCCATGGTGGATCTCCGGGGGCGATCGTGAGCTTGTCCCGCACATTCAGTCCACGTGTCCCAAATTGCCAGACTTTCTCTCACATCTAATGCACCTCCCCACTGTGGATCCGCCTGTGTCCCCTACTCCGGGTTCTACTTGTTGCTCGAACACATCATCTACTATTGTTCCGCGCGAGCCCGTTGCTTCGCATCAGCGCTCATCCAACACCGTGATGCGAGAGCAAATTGTTGTCCCCGCAGCACTTGCTGGTTCCCGTAAAGATACTGCACTCATGCGGTTAAACAATCGTGTTCGCTTACTCGAGCGCAACGTGTTCGTCAGCATGAGAAATTGGATCTTTCAAGCGCACCGGTGTCGAGTGGAGAATTGGACCGTTCTTGACTGTTATCCTTATCTTTGTTTGGCGCCTTCCGGTTGGCTAGTGTACTTTCCTCTTTCTAAGGTGTTCCCACCGTCCCAATCCACTCAGTAGTACGCCATCGATAGGAATATATACAATTGCTCTCGGATATCCAATCCAAACACTTCTTTTCCGCGCAGTCTTCCGATCTTGTTCTTATGTGCACATGCTCTAAGCTCTACGTAGCGTATACACCTGTGTTTGATGACCTGAACTATAATGGGTATACCCGGAGGATCCTTCACACATCAAGAACGTCATCCGATTCGAAGCATTTCATTGATTTCCTCCTTTGATGGCGAACCCAACAAACAAAAACACACAAAGTCACACTTACCTAATCATACGACATGGCTACTTCCAAATACAGACATAAACATACTTTTACATGTCAACAGACACCTACATTCCTATGCTATTTGCCAACATGTACTAATTTGTGCAATTGCCGATTATACATGTCTGTATTACCATGATCACGCCCTTGATGGTGTGCCTCGCAATGACGAGAATAAACAAGTTATTTATTTATTTATTTATAAAATTATATTTTCTCGATGTACATAGCAAATTAGCCGCTCGCCTGTTTGAACGTTGCTCGCGTTTGTTTGGGTCAACATAGCATCCGCCTTCGAACGGCGCGACGCTCATCGGCTCCGCGGCCATCTTTGCTCTCCGCGCACGCGACCACACCTTTCCCCTCGCTAGCTATCTTCCGGTGCCTTACTTTTAGCACTAGATAGCGTTTCGCCCCACTTACTAAATTTTTCCTAGCGTTACTTTTGGTGTTCTCCACTCATCGGAGGTTGGCCTTATACACGCCTATTGGTTCTAAAGCGTACCGATCCTGCTTCTCGCTTTATTGGTGACACCCGACTTTTGGTCATTTTTCGGTGAATTGTCGCTAACCTTTCTTTTCAGATTTTCCACATTTTTTCGCTAACCCGTCTAATTTTCACTTTTCATTTTCCGGTTTAATCTCGCTGGCTCGCTATTTTGCTCGCTATGGAAACTGATCGCGTAAATTCTGACGTTCAGTTTGGCACAGTTACGCTTCCTATCGCACCTCTTCGCGAGACTAATCCTAAGTCTTTGTTTGGTCAGCTAGAGTCGCAATTTTCTTTGCGTGGTATTAGGTCCGAAAAGACCAAGTTCCACCTTGTCGTTTCCGCGCTTCCGCTTAATGTCATCGATGACATTGATGACATTCTAGATCTTCCTGATGACCAAAAGACTTACGATGCAGTCAAGACAGCTGTTCTGAGAAGAACAGGCTTATCCGATCGACAACGAGTTACCAAACTCCTCAACGAAACCGATCTTGGCGATCCTAAGCCATCTCAGCTGCTTCGAAAAATGCAGAGCCTAGATAAACTCACTTCGATAGATGATTCTTTTCTTCGGGAAATGTGGTTGCAACGACCTCCGCGCGAGATGCTACACATCTTCTGCGCTAGTAAGGATGCACCTTTATCCAAACTGGACAATACAGCCGACCGAATTTGGGAGTCGTACGGCCAGGTTTCGCAGGTCGAGACGAAACCGGACGACGATATCACCACGCTTAAATCCCAGATGGCAACGTTGACTCGATCATTCGCAGACTTTTCGGCCTCCGGACATAACCGCTGTAGGAGCCGTTCGCGTTCACGTTCGAACTCTCCTTCGCGATCACCGCATAGAAACGGTTACCGCTGGTACCACGAACGATTCGGCCAGCAAGCTAAATCATGTCGCCCGCCCTGTTCCTTTAAACGACAGCAGCAGGGAAACGGGCGGACCAGCACGTAGGGGCGACGGACGTAGCTGGTCAACGCAGTCGCCTTTTCTTCGTCACCGATCGTAGAACTGGAGTTCGTTATCTCGTCGATACTAGTGCAGAAGTCAGCGTTCTCCCGCGTGATCCAAACGACCCGACCGAAAAGGTGACTAGCTCATTGCGCGCAGCTAACGAGACCATTATCCGCGTATATGGTCAACGCTTGCGCACGCTAAATCTCAGCCTCCGACGCGCTTTCAAATGGATATTCCTCGTTTCGGATGTTCAAACGCCTATCTTTGCTCTCGACTTCCTAAGTCATTACGACCTACTCGTCGACGTCAAGCGACACCGTCTAGTCGACCGCCTTACGAATCTTGCAGTCATTGGGACTTTGACCAACACCGCGTCAATCAGTCCCGTGTACGCGACTCAACTTAGTTCACCCGTCGGGCAAACGCTGCTCGATAGTTTTCCGCAGGCCTTCCGTCCTGCCGTCCCGTTGCCTTTCGCAACCGACGCCGCGACACATCACATCGTTACGAAAGGTCCGCCTGTGTTCACAAAAGCCAGGCGCATGACCCACGACAAGCTCAAAATTGCACGCTCCGAATTCGGGCACATGCTAGACTTAGGCATTATTCGCCCGTCTAAGAGCCCGTGAGCGTCGCCTCTACACATGGTGCCTAAAAAGTCAGGAGACTGGCGTCCATGTGGCGACTATCGCGTTCTCAATAACGCTACCGCCCCGACCGCTATCCAATTCCGCACATTCAGGACATCACGGCTAGCCTACGTGGCGCCCGTGTGTTCCCGAAGATCGATCTGGTTCGCGCTTACCACCAGATCCCTATAGCCGAGGATGACATTCCGAAAACCGCAGTCATCACGCCTTTCGGACTTTTCGAATTCTTGCGAATGCCCTTCGGTCTTCGCAACGCAGCTCAGACTTTTCAACGCTTCATAGACTCTGTCACGAGAGGTCTCGACTTGGTTTATCCTTATATAGATGACATTTTAGTAGCTAGTTCTTCCGAAGAACAGCACGCGGAGCACCTCAAGATGCTTTTCGAGAGGTTAGCCTCTAATAGCATTACTGTCAACGCTGACAAATGCATCTTTCAGCAACCATCTATCGAATTTCTTGGTCATCACATTGACCAGCATGGCATACGGCCGCTCGAAGACCGAGTCAGCGCTATTAAGGACCTTCCCGTTCCGACTACTTTGGCCGCCATCCGCCGTTTTAGTGGGATGCTCAACTACTACCGTCGATTTCTGCCACGTTGTGCCGACTTGCTCAGTCCATTGACCGACTTACTTCGTGGACGCAAGAAAGGCAACATCGAGTTGACGCCCGCTGCAACCGAAGCCTTCAAGGCCTGCAAAGTGGCCTTGGCTGAAGCCGTTATGCTTCACCATTTCGACCCCAAAGCTCCACTCAGCGTTGCAGTCGATGCATCGGACACCGCCATTGGCGCCGTTCTGCAGCAATTCACTGAAGGATGCTGGAAACCACTCGCTTTCTACTCCCGACGCTTACAACCGGCACGTTCAGCCGCGAACTGCTGGCAGTTTATTCTACCGTCCGACATTTCAGGCACGTCGTAGAAGGTAATTCGTTCGTTATTTTCACCGATCATAAGCCGCTTATTTACGCCTTTCGAATTCAATCAGCTCGACACTCACCACGTGAGGTTCGTCAGCTGGATTTCGTGGCTCAACTTTCCACTGACCTCCGACACATTTCAGGTCAGAATAACGTCGTTGCTGACGCTCTTTCGCGCGTCTCCGCAATCCACACCGTTGGCCAGGCAATCGACTTATCTGCCATGGCTACCGCGCAACTAACCGACACTGACTCAGAACGTCAAACAAGATTCTTCGCTACAACTCACATCGCATCCACTGCCGTCATCTGATGGCACAATCTTGTGCGATACTTCTACTGGACGACCTCGACCCGTCGTTCCAGAAACCTTTCGACGTCTAGTTTTCGACACACTTCATAACATCGCTCATCCAGGCATCCGAGCCACGATCAAGCTCATATCCGAGAGATACGTTTGGCTCGGAATGCAACGCGATCTTAAGCGCTGGGCACGCAGTTGTCTAACGTGTCAGCAGGCCAAGATACAGCGGCATGTGTCCGCTCCGCTTGGTCGTTTTCCGCAAGTCTCAGCTCGCCTCGCCCAAGTCCATCTCGACATAGTTAGACCCTTGGCACCATCCAGAGGAATGGTCTACATTCTGACCATGATCGACCGATACACCCGTTGGCCCGTAACCGTACCTATACCCGAAGTATCCGCGGACACCGTGACGCGCGCTTTCGTTGAGCGCTGGGTCGCTTCACATGTCTGTCCAGCCACCGTGACTACCGACCGCGGTCCGCAGTTCGAATCCTCGACCTTCAACGATCTTCTCAAGGTCCTCGGATGTCAACGCATCCGGACTACCGCCTATTACCCGCAATCCAACGGCATGGTGAAACGTTTCCACCGACAGCTGAAGGCCTTTTTAGTGCCGCTAATGCAATAAGCTGGACCGAAGCACTGCCTATGATACAGCTTGGTATCCGATCAGCTCTTAAAGCTGATTTGCACACGTCCAGCTCCGAACTGGTATATGAGCCCCTTCGAATACCTGGGGACTTCTTTTCTGGAAACCCCAGAACACCCCGCTACGACGCGAAGTACGCTCGGCAGTTAGCCACGAGCATGCGCCATATCAAAGTAACCGACGTGCAAGAACAACGACGTAAATCGTTCGTTCCACAAGATCTACTGCATTGCGCTTACGTTGTCCTTCGAGTCGATGGTCTACGCAGACCACTCGAACGACCCTACGAAGGTCCATTTAAGGTTCTTAAACGTAAGGACCGCGTATTCGTTATCGACCGCCACGGTAAACGTGAAACCGTCTCTATCGACCGTCTCAAGCTTGCCCATGTGGAACCTGAGATCGACGATGACTCCCGTCCACCTTCGGACGAGTCAACGCAGCCTATGATCGACGACACGCCTACTTCCGATGCTACGAAGCATTCTCCGACTAACCATTCCGACTCAGTTCCTTCCGATTCTATCGAGCCGAAAGCTTCCTCATCCGACAAAACTGCTGGATCGACAACGCCTCCGACCGAACGTCCGAAATCGACTAGGTCAGGTAGGCGGGTTCATTGGCCAGCGCGATTAAAAGATTAGTCTTCTTTTCATTCTTCCTTTCCCGCTTCCTTTTTGCTTGTGGCCTAACCCGCCCAACACACGGCAATTTTGAAAACCCAAAAAATTCGCAAAACCTTTTGAAAACCCCAAAAACCGCAAAAACGTTTTGAAAACCTAATAAAGGAGAAAATCGTTTTGAAAACACAAAATGGTTCTCGCTTTATTCGCTTATCGCACTCGGTAAGTGCTATCACCTTTTGTTAGCTCTGTCGCCCGCACCTGTTTGACACTCCGCGTTTCCGCTTCTTTTTCATATCCCCGACACGCGGACGTTCAACGACAATCGAACGTTACGTTTTCGGACACTAGGTGCTTAAACACCATGTGCTGTGACACTACGCACTCGAAGGCTACGAACATTACCCCCCATTTTGTGTTTTTGGCACCTGTAGGAAGGACACGGGTGGGAGCCCCCTAGCATCCGATCGCATTGGTTCTCCCCCAGCAGCTGCATCAGGTTTCACTGCCTGGTCGCGCAGAAGGCTGGCCGGCGACGGACAGTCCTCACGTAGATCGAAGGGTCACCTGCGGTTCTCTTCTAAGACGGGGGCTGTGTAGTGACCTGGAGAGTCCCCTGTTTGGCTGCCGAATGCTGCGCAAAATATTACAAAATCACAAAATTATATTTTCTCGATGTACATAGCAAATTAGCCGCTCGCCTGTTTGAACGTTGCTCGCGTTTGTTTGGGTCAACATAGCATCCGCCTTCGAACGGCGCGACGCTCATCGGCTCCGCGGCCATCTTTGCTCTCCGCGCACGCGACCACACCTTTCCCCTCGCTAGCTATCTTCCGGTGCCTTACTTTTAGCACTAGATACCGTTTCTCCTCACTTACTAAATTTTTCCTAGCGTTACTTTTGGTGTTCTCCACTCATCGGAGGTTGGCCTTATACACGCCTATTGGTTCTAAAGCGTACCGATCCTTCTTCACGCTTTATACCTCTTGCATTCAGCAT